AATATAAAAGGTTATCAATTTTTTTAAAATTATTAAATAACTAAATTAATTAAACTTAAAAAAAGGTTATTAACCTAACTCTAATTAAAAGAGAATATTTAAAATTATCAAATTAACTCCTAAATGTTGAACTAATAAAATTAATTATTAAAATGATTAATTAAACTATGCCTATTTAATTGAATTGCTAACTATTAAAACTAAAGTCCTAAAAGGAAAGAAAGAAAATGATAGAACGGGGGGTGCACAAGCAACACGCTGGGCTTAAAGCAGGATAAGGCCCAATCAAGAGTAGAAGCAGGGGGGTGTAAAAACCATTTTCGTTTGGGCTTTAAGGCAGGACAAGGGGTTTGGGTCCAAAACAATGCTAATTGGTTTTAGGGTTAAACAATATGCTTAGTTGTTAAGGGATTTAGGTTTAGGTTCTGGCCGAAACGGCGCTCATGCTCGCCTTCATCTTCTTCGTCTGAGTTCCTGAAATCGTCCCTCGTTTCCGGCCACCAGCAACCCAATCTTCCTCTTCCCTCCAACGCGAGCTTAAGGCAAACGACGGATTCGGTAAGCTTATGTTTTCTATTTCGTTAAGGGTTTTGCTACTGCATGTTTGATTTTGTTCATTTTTAATCCTGACTTCTTGTTTGTTAATGGTGATATGGAGGTTCTAAAAAAAAAGGGATGAAATGGTACCTTTGGAGCTGGAGAAGGGAGTTTGAGGGTGCTTAGGAGGCCGGACGGCAACGAGGGACACACGGGATGCTTGCTTCAGCTTGGTACCCTGGTATTCGTTCTTGATTCTTTACTGTACCCTTTGCGTTGCTTTGAACATTTTGGATGCTATGAATGCTTCCTATGCTATTGTTGAAATGCTTACTTTTGACTAGCGTGATGCTGTTGACACTTTTTCTTCTTCTTTTCTGATTTTTGTACGCTTCGTGGAATTTTGCCTATGATGGACTCTGAGGTTTGGGTATTTGGTCGTTGGTTTTGGTTTTAGAAATGATGATATTGGCTTTTGTGGCTCAATCAGATTCCTGGAGGTTTAGGCCATATTGTGATGGTTTGATTTTGGTTATGTTGGATAATGCAGTACCAGGTTTATGGTGATTTTTAGGCCTAGGTGCTTGTATGGTTTACACAGGTTTTACTGGTTTTTTGAATGCAGTAGACATGGTTTTTTGAGACAGGATGGTAATAGGTTTTGGTTTATGACAGTAGGTTCCCTATTGGTTTTTTGTGTTTGGCCATGAGGTTTTTGATATGGTTATGGCAGGTTAACAGTTTAGCAATAGCAGGTTGATGGTTTTGGGGTTTTAAAACTTTTTTTTTTGAAATGGTTTATGCAGTTTGTTTTATATCTCTTGTTGACAGCAGTTTCTCTCTAAGTTTTTTCTAAGGCTTGGAGGTTGATTGATATTCCTGTTTTGAAAATGATCCCAATATGTTATATCCACCTTTTCTTTGTTTACGTTACAGGCTGGAGATTTGAAGATTTTTTTACAATTTTCTTTGGCCTCCTGCATCACACTGTTACAGCAGTTTTGTTTGTATTCTACTCTTGTGTTTCTCCTTTTACTGTAATACTGCAATAGCTTTGTCTTATAATTCTTTCTGCCTAAACCAAAACCTGCAAAACCAATTTCTTTTCTCTCTTCTCTCTCATGGGTACATTTGATATATAAAATGATATAATGTACTATTGTTCTGAAAATGCAAAGGGCTGGAATATGATGAATGAGGAAGTATAGGTTGCTTGTACATTGTTTTGATACTGCATAATTCTTCTTTTTGTCTTGCATGGGACTTAAGTTTTTAACTTCTTCCTACCTCTAGGCATGTTTACGTTACACTTTGGCCTTGGTTTGTGTACATTGTATATGCTGTTTGAAAATTATGCAAATGATGCTGATTTTGAAATATGTTGTGGACTTTGAAAATGCAATTGATTTGAAAAAATGCAGTTTTTACTTTAAAAAAATTTGACAAAACATGAATTTGTGCATGTTTTAAAATGTGCATTCATTTTATGAAATAAAATTCCTCCTTTTTTGTGAACCGGGAGAAATCCCGTGATTTGCAAAAAAGGGTAAACTGATTCCAGCCGTTTGCCTTTAATGATGAACATTAAATTTATTTTCCGCTTTTAATTATTTATTCAAATCTGACTTTTCTTTTAATTGTTTTTGCAGGTAAATTTAAATGAGCAGACAAGAGGCATTGGATAGAAGATGAAGATTTAGAATTTAGGAAAATAGTTTTTTTATTTTACTTTAAGCATTTATGTAATTGCCATTATAAATATTTTGTAATAACACAATATTTAAATGATAATTGTAATAAATAGAATAAAGTGAATAAAGTTCTATTATTTAAAAATTAATTCTTTTTTCTTTCCAATTATTTATCTATTGTTTATAATTCTTTAAATCATATAATAACTGAAAATCAAATCCAATCATTTAAATTCAGAATGATAAACAAATAAATAAACATCATTGGCCAATTAACAATTTTAATTATTTAATTCGTTATTCATAATATTCTAAATTATAATAATTAAAAAATAGAATTTAATTATTTAACCTAGAATGATAAAGAATTAAATAATCATTGTTGACCAATTAATAAACCCATTCTCAAAATGTTTATTTCATTATTCATAAGTCTTTAAATTATATAACAATTGAAAATAGATTTCAATTATTTAAATTTAAGACTATAAATAATTAATAAACGTCATTTAAGTCTTGATCAGTTGATAAATTTAGCGTTCAACAAATAAATAGCTCTCGACTCTAAACAGTTATGAATTTTTAAGATCAATAGATCAAAACACTTGTAATGTAATGATGCAGATGGGAGATGATATCTTAGGTCAAAATTTGGGGTACAACAGATACCGACCACGGATATGTATTTTTGATACCTGTTTTATATGTTTGCTACCAACCCCAGACATATATTCTTGTATCTTTGATGTCTCTTCCTTACGTATCCGATACCGACCACGGATATGTATTCTTGATATCTCTTTCTTACGTATCCGATACCGACCACAAATATGTATTTTTGATACCTGTTTTATATGTTTGCTACCAACCCCAGACATATATTCTTGTATCTTTGATGTCTCTTCCTTACGTATCCGATACCGACCACAGATATGTATTCTTGATATCTCTTTCTTACGTATCCGATACCGACCACGGATATGTATTTTTGATACCTATTTTATATGTTTGCTACCAACCCCAAACATATATTCTTGTATCTTTGATGTCGCTTCCTTACGTATCCGATACCGACCACGGATATGTATTCTTGATATCTCTTTCTTGCATATCCGATACCGACCACGGATATGTATTTTTGATACTTGCCTCATATGTCTGCTACCAACCCCACACATATGTTCTTGTATCTTTGTTATCTTTTGTGCGTATCCGATACCGACCACGGATATGTATCTTTGATATCTCTTTTGTGCGTATCCGATACCGACCACAGATATGTATCTTTGATATCTCTTTTGTGCGTATCCGATACCGACCACGGATATGTATATTTGATATCTATTTTGTGCGTATCTGATACCGACCATGGATATGTATCTTTTCTATCTCTTTCTTACGTATCCGATACCGACCACGGATATGTATCTTTTCTATCTCTTTCTTACGTATCTGATACCGACCACGGATATGTATCTTTTCTATCTCTTTCTTACGTATCCGATACCGACCATGGATATGTATCTTTTCTATCTCTTTCTTACGTATCCGATACCGACCACGGATATGTATCTTTTCTATCTCTTTCTTACGTGTCCGATACCAACCACGGATATGTATTTTTGATGTCTTTTTCTTGTATATCTGCTACCAACCCCGGATATGTGTCTCTGGTACTTTTTTTCGTATGTCTACTACAGACTTCAGGCATATACCTTTTGATATTTTTCTTACAGGTGTTTGTTACTAAATCCCAACAGAAGTTCCTCGATAACCAAGTTATCCTTCGGTGTGTCAAACTCTAGTTAAATATACATCTAACCCCTTTAACCCAGAAAGACCAAAAATAATAATACTTGACTGACTCCGGAGCGCAAATTTTCGGGTTCTTTTAGTATTTAATCTTCCTCCACCCTGAAAGTTCGAAAGGCAGACGCCAATCTCACCTTCAGGTTGAAGACGATTAAATAGGGGCAGCTGTTGCACCCCAAAATTTGCCCTCCTAATTTCTTTTATTTTGGCTTAGAATTTTGCATTCATCTGCATCTATTTCATTAGGTCACTAACATGGCATACATTTCATTCAATATAGCTCTGAGGTTCAAAGTCCAGTGGTTGTGCGATACTAGGGTTTCCCAGTGGTTAAGGCGCTCGTATCCAATAAGGGATGATTTCTTATTCAGGCAGCAAGCTGTGGAATTAGGGTTTTGGTTCATTCTCTTTTTTGGATTTCTTCTCCATCAAGCTACAAGGTTATTATCTTCTGTTGAACAATAAGTTGCAGGGTATGTCTGTCAATAACATAAGGTTGTGATCTCGCGTACATGATTTAAAACACCTCATTCTATCATTGTTCTTGTCATTTGGTCAAGGTTTTGTCAATACTAGAGGTGTATTAAGATCTTCTCTAAAGGATCAAGATCTGTTATCAATCCAGGATGCATATGATGCTTGCATTACAGGTTGTTGACTATGTCATTGTTGCATTAAGTTCATATATCCTTAAGTTAATTAATTAGGATTGGGTACGTCATGATTTAAGATATTTTTTATGGTAAATTTGGTTGCTTGACGGTCAAGGTATTGTGAATAATTGGTACAAGCTATTGTTTGGATATTTGTGCAAGAACTTTGGTTTCAAACATGGATTAAGGTTCAACTTGATAAAAAAGGAAATAGCATGCCCGAAGGTTTATTTCATAAATTCTTTCGGAGGAAGATGGCACATCAATATAAGTTGAGATTAAAGTACATGGTATCAAGAATCTCTTCATGATTCAAGTTGTTATTTTTAAAGATTATCCCACACCATTATTAACCCTAATTAGCAGCATTCAAGAGAGAGATATTGAGGATGAAATCATTGTTGAACACGATGAAAGTTCGGATGTTGTGCCAGCCGCAGCTGCCTCCTCCTCGTATCAGCCAGTCATGGGGCTCAAAATGAAGGTCCAATTAATCAGAGGGGAAAAGGAATTAATGGACGCATTGCTTCTGGATGCAAATGGAATGGGAGAACTAGATGGAAGATCTAGAATCTGGGTGGAGCAACTAAGAGGTATTTCCCTTGAAGCTCAATTTGTCCTTAACAAATATGATGCCAAATTGAATCATAAGCCAATTCTCATCTACATTTGTAAGTACTGGACTCGACATGTCGTTAGTAAGAAGATAGATGGTATCAGAAACAAAATTGAAGATGCTTCTAGGAGAAGAAAAGCATATGGTTTAGTGCAAATTCAAAGCCGAGTCGTATCTAAGATTCAAAAATTACGTGCACGGATGCAACCGTATCTCGCTGCCAAGAAATCCAGTGTGGTTGGATTTGATGATGACACACAAGTTCTGATGACGGAGTTACTGTCGTACGAGAAATGCCGCTGCATTACTTGGATTGTTGGAGTCGGAGGCACAGGTAAGACAACACTAGCCAATTTGATGTTTGAAGACAACATTGTTGTAGCTCATTTTCAGCGTCGCGTATGGGTGTCACTGCCTTCAAATTGTACGACAAACCAGTTTGTTGCAAAAATTGGCAAGGAGACCGCCAAGAAAATTACAGTAGAAGAAGAAAACATGCCCACTGATTACGTACTCACAACCTTGGCACACTCAAAGTACCTTATAGTTGTTGATGGCCTTAAAGAAACATCCAAAGTATACTTGGATACCTTGAACAGGGTCATACCTGATATGTTAACAGGAAGCAGAGTTCTTTTTACTACTCGCAATGCAACAGTAGCCAAACATGCAGCAGGTAGAATCATTCTTCACCCATTACAATTATTAGATGATGAAACTAGTTGGTTGTTGTTCACAAGACATTTGAAGGTCCCCAAGTCATAAACAGAACTTATCAAGGTTGGAAAAGAAATTGTGATGAAATGTGGGGGACTACCATCACAAATACTGAAAATAAGTGATTTTCTTTCACATAAAGATGTTACACATGAGGAATGGTTAAGCGTGCTAGGAGGGCAGCAGCTCAATGAAAATCAAATACAATGTTGGTCTGAAACGCTAGACACAATTAATACAAACTTACCTTATTATCTGAGAAGATGTCTATTTTACTTTGTGCTATTCCCTGCTGAATTTGGGATCCCTGTTAGAAGGTTGGTTGTTTTGTGGGTTGCCGAGAGTCTAATTCATCAAGCAGAAGATGACGAAGTGCCCCCGGAGCTCGTTGCAGAAAGGTACTTGACAGAGTTGATAGATCGGAGCATGGTCCAAGTAGCCAAGAGAAAGCGCAATGGAAAGGTGAAAACATGTCGTCTCCCTAGTGCTTTGCGGTAACTCTGGTTGTCAAAGGCTAACGACTCCATATTTCTATAAGGTCACCGATCTGCCACGAATTCAAGTGCAGACCCAAAAAGGTTCATTATTCGTCGGGTTGCAGATCATCTTGATAAAAATGATATCTGGAACGATCATATTCATGGTGACAATGCTGATTCAACTTCCTTTCAAAGCTATTACAAGGACGTTCTCTCCTTTCATTCCTTTGATAGTCAAGAGGGGATTAAACCTGGAAAACAAGTAGGTAACTTTCTCAAGGGATGTATTTCAAGTGATTGCTTTTTACTCCTTTTGGTGCTTGATCTTGAACGCGTTTACAAGCCCAACTTGCCTAAGCGCATATCAAGACTTACCCGGCTAAGGTATCTTGGCTTGAGATGGACCTACTTAGAGTCACTTCCATCATCTATAAGCAAGTTGTTGAAGCTGCAAACACTTGACCTCAAACATACTTACATACATACTCTTCCTACCTCAATTTGGAAGATGGAACTCAGACACTTGTTCTTGAGTGAGACTTACCGCACCAGATTTCCACCTCAACCAAAAGGAGATTCTCAATTCATGGCCTGTCTAAAGCATATATAGAGCCTGTAGAGTTTGCTGGATCAGGTTTGCTTGCAATTGCATTTGTTAGCATGTCTTCTGCAGATCATGGGATACGAAGATTAGCTTATGACACACTTGTTATATTTAAGAATGTATTAGAGAAATGCCAAAAGAGGAAGGATTTAATGGGACTCCGACTTCTAATGAATTATGTTCAAAACAGTATTGAAGAGTCATGGAGAAGAATCCCATTGGTTATTGCTTTATTTGCTGCAGAGGCATCTTGTGTATTGTTAGATTCCTCGCATGATCATTATGCAGCTATATGCACGTTCTTGACATAGTCTTCTATGATGAATATGAAGGTTATACCTCTGTTTGATAACTTTATGTGGAGTTCATCCGTCAATTTCAAAGCAGAGAGATCTTGGATACTTCGGCTAGTATATGCAGGACTGAACTCAGATGATGATGCCATGATATATATTCAGGATTTACAGAAACATATAAGCTAGAATCCCTGCATTCTTTACCGGTGCATGTAGAAAATACCTCAGGACAAAGACATGATATTAATATTGGCTGTGAGGAGTTGCTTGCTTCAACAATTTTCTATCTCCAACTGCTTCCTGGTATAAATCAGGAACTTCTACCATCAGTTGTATCTGCTCTATGTCTCCTAACTTTTGGTGCCTCTAATTTACAAGTGGGAAGAACCATTTTATTGCAAGACTACAATACTATCATATCATCAAACTCTTTAAGGGTACAATGCCCTCTTGAAGCTAATCCAGATTGGAGATGGTCGTTTTACCAGCCAAGGAAGGATCAATCACTGGAGTTCACTGGCACTGGTACAGAAAACATGGCAGAATATCATGCTTGCCAAACTCTGTTGGTAGTTGTTGCAAATGTGCTTGGTGGAAAGAAATTAGAGTCAGCTTGTTTGTCCCCTCTAGATGTTGAGATATCTTCCTTAATCAAATGGGAAAGAAGTTTATTGAGAAACTGAATGTTTATTATCAACCCATTTTCTGGGCCATGTATTCGGTGCATTCAACTAGACCTGAATGATTCAAATATGGAAGAGATGCCCATTGTACTGACAAGGGTAAGTTTAAAACTGAGCTGCACACTAATACAAACGCTAGCAATCAACACAAGACTAAGCTTGGTGGGAAGGCTGAAACTTCAAAACGACAATTTATCTAATCAGAATAAAGAGGCGGTACAAGTTGAATTAACTGAAAAATGGTATCCTAATATGCCATTTTTGGATGTTCCTTTGTTAAAGCAGCTGGCTGCTGAAGGAATTGTTTGTAGGACAGAAGCTTGAAGAATGGGAAACAGAAGATTAATTAACAGCTCATCAATTTCCTCCTAACAACTTTATAACTCTCTAACTACCTCCAAACAGAATTCCCAACTAGCATAACCACCTTGTAACCAACTCTCAATCTCACCCTTCAATCCCTAACAAACTCTATCCAAATCAATGGTTCAGATTGATTCCCACATAACCGTTTCCTCCCTCAACTACCTATATAATCCAAACCCCCTCCAAGTTTGAGGGGACGAGGTCACTCTCTCTTTTCCAGTTTCAAAACTTCATCATTGTATCAGCTTCAAAACAACTTCTTCCCTCTCCATCATTCATTCTCAATTTTTTCTGAACTCTCATCATCTTCTTCAAAGACTTCAACGAGAATTTAGAAAAACTTTGTACATCATCAGCATCATCCTCAACGATTTCAAAACAAATCGCGCTCGGCTCAAAGAACAACAGTGCATCACGCCACAACACGCACCAGCAAATAGATCACGGTGCAGAACGGTCGATTCATAGAAGAAGGAGATTGAGAGGAAAAGGTCACGCATATGAGTTGAGAGATTCAAACCTGAATACACCAAGTACTACTGGATTTCTGTTCATCTTCATCATCCTCAAAGAACACCGGACCTCTCCGGTAGGTAAACACCGTCATCTTATCCCCTTCGTTATTTTGCTCTTTCCTTTTAGCACCTCCGTGTAGAATGTGTGGCAGGATTTCTTGTTTTTTTTTTTTGGAGAGTTGTTGCTCGTTGAAAATCGGGGAAGGACGTGGAAGTTTATAGGAGAAGGGAGATCAAAGAAAGAACGAAGGTGATGATATTGAGGAGACGGAGACCATGCGAGGTTTTATCGGAGAAGGAGATTAATGGTGAAGTTACGACAATCACTGAACGGAGTGAAACAAAGGCGGTGGTTCGTTCACACGGTGCCGTTTGAAAGAAGAGAAGAAGGAGTCTACTGTCAATTCCAAAACGACCCCGTTTTCTTTTTTTTTTCTTCTTTCTTTATTATTTTGTTAATTATTTGTTTTATTTTTAAATAATAATGACAAAACTTCTTTTTTTTTATATAATCTTTATTATAGTTAAGAACTTATCTTAATCTTCCTTATAAACAAAAAACAATAAATATATATATATATATATATATATATATATATATATATATATATATATATATATATATATATATATATATATATATATATATATATATATATATATATATATATATATATATATATATATATATATATATATATATATATATATATATATATATATATATATATATATATATATATATATATATATATATATATATATATATATATATATACATAAAATAAATCCGTAAGAATTTATTAGTTTTTTAATACTTATTTGATTTCTCAGGAGTTAATCCGTTGGTTATCCGATTAGTTGAAATCCGTGACTCACCGTTGTTTTTGTCGAGACTTGAATCTTATGCAGGTTCAATATGCGACACGTGGATATGCTTAAGATTTCGATTGTGATTTGTTTTCGCATCTAGGACACTTCGACGCTTACTTCGAGTACTTAATTTCTAACTTTTTTTCGTTGTTGATGGTAACAGCTCTCGAGATCGTCAAGTATCTTTGCTTTTTCTGCTTTGCTCTACGGGCTAGTATTCGCTTGGTATATTTTCTTTCTATTTTTTACCTCGCATTTATCTTTTCCCATAGATCATATGAAGTGTGATAGAATCAGGTTTAGGCTAGTCTCCCTATAACTTTTCTTTCCCTTTTGCATACGTATCTAAAACTAAAACTCTTTTTTTTCAAACTTCAAAAAATGCATAAAAATTTACTGACAAGAACTATGTCTTAGCTAAGTTTGAGAGATGATAAGCGGGTTTCTTCTCGACCTTATTATTCTCTTGTTCTAAGCTTTGGTATGATTCAAGTCTCAAAGACTCATTTCATGAATAAGTAGAGAAATGGCTAAAATCTCTCCCTTGAGATTAACTAGCCATTATCTACAAGCAAAAACACCGACAAATGTAAACTCTTTTTGCCTCTGGGCCTTCCTTTCAAAAGAACATGTTAATTCACTTATGTGCTGACGCGTAAGTCTCTAATGGTCGAGTTGCGGCAGAAGGCGAAATTAATATCATTCATTACAAAAACAAACCAAATTCAAACTTTTGTGCGCCCAAGCACATTTTCTCCAAATCTTTTCAGAGAGCATGTTAATTCACTTCTGTGCTGATGCGTAAGTCTCCAAAGGTTGAGTTGCGGCAGAAGGCGAAATTAATATTGTGCATTAAAAAAAATACAAACAAACAAAAACATGTAAGCCGAACTACGGCTGCTCTGATTCCTCAAAAAGGATACGTAGGCATCGGGGTAGGGCCCGAACGAGCACAACTTTTATTTTCCCTACATTTTCTCCCCCTTTCTTTTGCATGCATTCCTCCAGTAGTATAGTAAACAATAAGCATAGATTGAACACACCCATAAGATAGACAACAAGAGTGGATACCGTAGAGTACTACGGGCGTGTGGGGTGCTAATACCTTCCCCTCGCGTAACAGACTCCCTTAACCTTATCTCTTGGTCGTTCAACCTTGATTTCACCCTTCTCGGGTTTTCTCGATGTTTACCTTTCCCTACCATTGGGATAAAAGACGTTCGATGGCGACTTCATTGTTTGATGATTTTCAGCCGGTTGTTTCACCTTCTGTGTACAAACTGCTATCTCCTGGAAACGTGATCCTTTGACAAAACTCAAAACATGAAACTTGTAGAGCATCAAACAACAATTTCAACCATATAAAAAACTTGATCTAACTCTCAAAGACCAGAGAGAATTTTTCTGGCCCTAATTTCTAACCTAGTTTTTTCAAAAAGTTCATGGATGAAATTCTCCTAGCACGATTAATATAAATGAAAACTAAGCACATGTATGGTTTCAAGGAAATGAATACAACATCATTCATTCATAAACCTAAGGCTAAATGTTCCTAAATAGAGAGATAGAAGTTCATGAAATACCTGTTTTAGTTGAGTTCGAGTTGGACAATGCAGCAACTTTCAATGGGGCCTGAGGTTCTTTTGAGCTTGCTTGATGTCCCCTGAACCTTTCCCAATGCTTAGTTTGTTTTCAAGTGGCCTGAATCGTGCTATAGAACTCAACCTGCAAAGCTTCCAAACAAAAATGGTGATGTGTGTAAATGGAGTTACAGCAACTTGTGAATGGTCTGGACAACTTAGGTATATTGTTTGGAATGTGTTTCAAGTGATTTTGGACAAAACGCACGAGGGGATTTGATTGTGGCTTGTGATTTGCAGAACTGGCCCTGTTTTGCAAGAAAATGTGGTTTTTGAGTATGAGGAGGTTTGAGAGGTCAAGGGCTCGTGCTTCTGGCTTGCAAGTATATGAGAAACTTGTTTGAAAACTTTGCTTGAGTTCAATATATTAGATGTGTGAGTTATGAGCTTTTGGCCATTTGACTTGTTTTGAAAGCAAAGATGTGAAGTGACCATGCTAAGGCTTGTACAGGCTAGCTTCAAGCATGCTCATAGTTGGTGTACTATGCCTGATATTAAGGGACTTTGTTTGCAGCAAAAGGCTTGGTTCAATGCTCAAGAGAAACAACTTTGCAAAAGTTATGCTTTATGAAAATGAAAGTGTGATCTTTATGCCCAAAATGGAATTATTCAATGTACAATGCTCCCTTGATCAGGACAATGCCTCTAACAAATGTATTTGCATTCAATTTTTGAGTGTTGAAGGGTTTAGAGACATGTAATTATGTACTAATCTAGTTTGGTCAGATTTGCAACTTGGTATGAACATGTATTGGCCATGGTTACAAAGCGAGTTTTTGCCAACTTCAAGCATTCGATTCTCCCTAACCAAAAAGGTGTTTGAGGAGTTCTTGGACAATTTGTAAAGCTTGCAACATGTACTATAATCCATCTTTGAAATGAAACTTAATACTCCAAGTGTAACTATGTGAAAAATGGCCAAGAAGATGGGTCAAAATCCTGCCTAAACTAGGGCAAAATTTCTCTAAGTTAAAAGTTTTAGGTAACCTTGTTCCAAAAATCATAACTTGAGACCCAAGCTTCTTTTGAGAAAACTTTGTGAATAAAAGTTGTAGACTTTGTGATGGACTACAACTTTAATGTTGTAAGTTTTGTTTGAATCCATTTGCATCTTGGTGAAAAAATGGGACAAAGTTAGGAAAAAATAAGAAAATTTTATAACTTAGAAAATTTCTAAGTTATGAAATTTTTCCATTTTAAACCCTAATTTGCAATTTTGGGTTTCTTGATGAACAAGTTTCATAATTTGACATGTTTTGATGAAAAATGACCCTTGGCACTTGATTTTGACCAAAAAGTCAAGGTTTGACTTTTCAATGTACAATCAAATTTTGATCAGTTGACTGAAAAATTCATCTGTCAATCCTATGCATTTGAGATCTTTCGAACTTGTTGAATGGGTCAAGACAATGTCATTGAGTCTTTGAGTCCATGGTTGAGCTTGATTTTCCATTGGTTAGGTCAAACAGTCAAAAATTGCCTTTGTACAGTCAAAACCCTAAAAATGACCATTTTGCCCTTTTGGTGATCTGATCAAATTTCTTGTGGAATTGTGATCCAAACTTGATCAAATGGTTCATATGAGTTCATAATGTTTATGTGGGTC